TTTGAGGCTTTTTCGATTTTTTGTAATGGAACTAGCCAAAAATCATTTTTATTTAGTAGTATGTATTCCATTTTATCAAACAACACAGGAAACAATCAGTAAAACCCTAAAAACCATCTTAAAAAAACACCTAAAAGTTTCTGTTTTAAACCAATTGCAAAGGTGAAGCCTACCTTTGTATGTTTGTCTTTGATTTTATTACTTGTACTAAAAAGTTTGATTTCCTCAGGTCGCAACACTACGTAAGTACATCCCAGAAATTAGAGCATCTGATATCAGACGTGGCCCAACTGGTGTGCGAGCCCAAGCCATGAATGTTGATGGATCATTAGAGGAAGACTTTGTTTTTCATAGAGAAGCAGGATCAGTATTAGGATCTCGTATTCTCCATTGCCGAAATGCTCCGTCTCCAGGTGCTACATCCTCACTCTCTATTGCTAAGATGATAGCTGACAAATGTAAAACTGAATTTTTGCTTTGAAAAGACTGTTAATTTTTTTAGGTTTGTAATTTTTAATTGAATGTTACAATGTGACAGATTCTTTCTCGCTGCATTTATGGTATTTAGAAATTTTATAATTCTGTTTACAATACAGTATATATAAATTGAATGTACAGTACATTATACAGTAATTCACGTACTTCACTGAAAATCGTCTTGGGTTTATGCAAATTGAAGAAAGTTGCCCTTCTTTTTAACAGTAATTCCGTTTAATGAAAAACTCACTGAATTGTACCAGTGACACTTTAAAATGCAGAAACTTTTGTTTAAGTTTTCACCCTGTTTCTAGCCCTTGTGGCTTAGCGCTTTTTGATTATAATAATAATAATTCACCCTGTTTCTTTTCTGCAGCTGTTCCAACTGCATATGCTGCTGTTAGCCAGACAGTTTGCTTTGAATGATTTTACATACTGTGTAGAGTAAAACATCATTATGTAACACAACTGGTTAGGGCCAAGGGCAAACCTCTATGACTTATTGTATCATAAGCATAATGGAGAAGGTCTGCATTACTCTATTCCCCCCCGTCCCTTCAAAAACAAAAATACACAAAAACGTGTACAATACTTTTTTTTTAACACATCGGCCATTTGCCACCAAGGCAGGGTGACCCATAAAGAAAGAAAAATACTTTCATCATCATTCAACACCTTCACTCATATATAATCACTGTCTTTGCAGAGGCACTCAGATACGACAGTTTGGATGTCCCTCCAAACTGCCAGTATCCCAAACCCCTCCTGCAATACTTACCATCATGATTCAATATATACCACTATAGAAGACATGAAAGAGCAAGGGGCAAGTAATGCCTTCTATATACATTACTAAAGTTAAAAAGAGAAAATTTAGTTTTTCTTTTTGGGCCACCCTGCTCAGGTGGGATACAGCTGGTGCATTGAAAGGAGTAGGACAAGGCATAAAAATGTTAAATTACAGCATAATGTATAATCCACCATGCTAGCCTAAAAATGTACATAGTACTTTTTCTTCTATTTGTTTTAATACAGTTTTTTATATTTAAGCTTCATATGGGATAGAAAAAATTGTGGTTACTGCATATTCATTATAAAATTGCACAGTAAAGCAAGAAACAATTTTTTCTTTTTTTTTTCTTTACTATATTGGTCAGATCCCACAGATAGGGTGACCTAAACAAAGATATGTATTCTTTCATTCATTCAATAGCTTTCTTACCAGAGGTGCATATCTATCACAATTCAAATGATTTTAAACTGCAACTTCCCTGGCCATCCTTCAGTGTGCAAAAACTGTATTTCTGTTTTGGCATTCTCCACAGGTGTCATTGACAAACAAACACACTCAACACTACCTTTCTATTGTTTCACTTTCCTTGTTCTTCCTTGCTGTTAATCACCAGCATGTACAAAAATTTTAGAATTACATCCTAAGTAGGCATATTTCTGTTACATTGAAATTCCATGTAAATATAGAAAATAAAATTTTTTCTAGCCTTTAGCAATTGTAACTGTTCAGCATTTCAGTTCTTCACCCTTTCTTTATTATGTTTCTTACTAGTCAGCATTTTGGAGGCAGAGCTGTATGACCCTTATGGGTTTAGCACTTTTTTTTTTCTCAAGTTGGCCATCTCCCACCTAGGCAGGGTGACTCAAAAAGAAAGAAAATCCCTAAAACGAAAATACTTTCATTATCATTCAACACTTTCACCTCACTCATACATAATCACTGTTAAATAACAAAAAAAGGCACAATACCGTGACTGTAACGATACACAAATAACCCGCACATAAAAGAGAAGCTTACGACGACGTTTCGGTTCGACTTGGACCATTTACAAAGTCACACTAACCAGAAGTGGAGCAGGATGGCTATATATAGGCAGGAAGAGGTAGTGGTAGTAGTAGTAGTAGTACAAGAATGGTATATAATACCGACAAGATGAAATTAAGACACATGCGCAACACCCGGGCATCTCTATCGTAGACGCTTCGCCATCCAGCCAGCCACTGTTTTTGCAGAGGCACCCAGACACAACAGCTTAGAAGTATATACTATAAAGATACAATATAAAAAGTGACCTGAAATAATCTAATAAACTCCATATAGAATATAATATCAGGGCCCCAATTGTATATATATACCTTCCTGTTACACATCTCTCCAAGCTGCCAATATCCCAAACCCCTCCTTTAAAGTGCAGGCATTGTACTTCCCATTTCCAGAACTCAGATCCGGCTATATAAAAATAACCGGTTTCCCTGAATCTCTTCACTAAATATTACCCTGCTCACACTCCAAGAGCTCATCAGGTCTCAAAAACCATTTGTCTCCATTCACTCCTAACACACTCGTGCACGCTTGCTGGAAGTCCAAGCCTCTTGCCCACAAAACCTCCTTTACCCCCTCCCTCCAACCTTTTCAAGGACGACCCCTACCCCACCTTCCTTCCCCTACAGATTTATACGTTCTCCATGTCACTATTTTGATCCATTAGCACTTAAATGGTTATATCATTATCACTCACCAGCTGCAGACCTCAAGACCCAATGAAGTGTATGATCTGTTGCAAGTTAAAAATGATTGATCTGAAAGTGGCCTCAACATCTTGTGTGGCCACAACATTCTCTTGTGGAATCTGTATGCATTGGACATCATATAGTGCCTGCTGCATGGCTCTTCACTCAGAGAGAAATTGATGGGTTTGAAAAAATGAAAGTCCAACTATTTTCTCACTAATGTTTCACAAGTGGCTGTAATACTTCGATATGCTATTGTTAACTTCATAGTGTAAAAATTGTGTGCTATATATTAGGACAGAAATCTACATCTGGATAATCATTGGCAATGCCGAATTAAAGGATATCGTTTTTCTTGTTTTCTCTTTTACCATTATTTTGAACAGATTCTTAGTTTATCTGACCAAACATGAAAACTTGGGAAGATATACAGCAGGTATGCCATCTTTTGGGTATTATGCAGTTCTGCAAAAAATAAAAAATTAACTCTTGCAAAAAATAAACCTACCCCCCAAAAAACTTTCCCTTTGCTATTCAATCAGCCGCTGAACATGAGTAAGAACCTTTTCTTTAATGTTCTTTCTAACATTTGTTTTAACATCTTTGACATCCATGACTGCCTCTTGTCAGTTTAATCCAACTCATTGTTGAAATGGTTAAAAATTTGTGCCTAGTTCTGGAGTTAGTGTGTGTGTAGTAGCATTTGCTGCTGCTGCTGCTGCTGCTGCTGCTGCTGCTGCTGCTGCTGCTGCTGCTGCTGCTGCTGCTGCTGGGTGCTGCTGCGCTGCTGCTGCTGCTGCTTGCTTGCTGCTGCTGCTGCTGCTTGCTGCTGACTGCTGCTGCTGCTGCTGCTGCTGCTGCTGCTGCTGCTGCTGCTGCTGCTGCTGCTGCTGCTGCTGCTGCTGCTGCTGCTGCTGCTGCTGCTGCTGCTGCTGCTGCTGCTGCTGCTGCTGCGCTGCTGCTGCTGCTGCTGCTGCTGCTGCTGCTGCTGCTGCTGCTGCTGCTTGCTGCTGCTGCTGCTGCTGCTGCTGCTGCTGCTGCTGCTGCTGCTGCTGCTGCTGCTGCTGCTGCTGCTGCTGCTGCTGCGCTGCTGCTGCTGCGGGCTGCTGCTGCTGCTGCTGCTGCTGCTGCTGCTGCTTGCTGCTGCTTGCTGCTGCTGCTGCTGCTGCTGCTGCTGCTCTTGCTGCTGCTGCTGCTGCTGCTGCTGCTGCTGCTGCTGCTGCTGCTGCTGCTGCTGCTGCTGCTGCTGCTGCTGCTGCTGCTGCCTGCTGCTGCTGCTGCTGCTGCTGCTGCTGCTGCTGCTGCTGGCTGCTGCTGCTGCTGCTGCTGCTGCTGCTGCTGCTGCTGCTGCCTGCTGCTGCTGCTGCTGCTGCTGCTGCTGCTGCTGCTGCTGCTGCTGCTGCTGCTGCTGCTGCTGCTGCTGCTGCTGCTGCTGCTGCTGCTGCTGCTGTTGCTGCTGCTGCTGCTGCTGCTGCTGCTGCTGCTGCTGCTGCTGCTGCTGCTGCTTGCAGTGTAAAATGTTGCAGTACTGTATTCCAAGTCTTAACACTAGAATGGGGAGGCAATGTAAAATCAATTAGTAATTTCTTCTTCCAGTGGATTGCACTGTGACCATGAAACTGCATTATGAAGTCATCTTTGGCTGTACTTGCAATATTAGGTCATTAATGCCTCCTGGTATTGAAGATATGTTGACATACAGTGTGATTAAATTTTCCTAAGCTTACAGTGGATGCACAAAAGCAGCCTTCCTGTTGCTTGTGTCCAGAATTAACTCTCAATTCCAAAGAAAACCTCATAGATATGATAAATATGGCATCAAGTTATAATACATAATTCTGCTCACTATATGGAAAGAAATAACTACCTAAAAACTAAATTACTTTCCAAACTGAGCTAGACAAGTGAAAAATTTTCAAGAAAATGTTTTCCTGAGGCTTTTGAGATGCCTCTAAATGTACTTCATATTCTAAATAATTTTTCAGGGCTTGTTTCTGTGGTAGTGAAAATTAGCAGTGATCTTCCCTTTTTCCAAACCAAATCTTGTATCTCTAGATGTGGCCTCACACATTGCACTACTTATCTCTAGTTGTAAACTACTGGAATATTTGGTGAAGAGAAAACACACGTGATACTGTACTTGGAGAGATTTATTTGGCCTGAGATGAAGTCCAACTAGTAAGTAGCTCACTTATGGTCATCTCATCTAGGGACTCGATCTCTGCAAGAGTTCCCAAGTCATGCTTTGGCAGTCCAAACTTTTGATATATTGCCCCATTTATCTGATTATATACCATCACTCAATCATTGGCCTGTCATACTTTCTCAGTCTACTGTCTTGAAAGTCCAAATTCTAAAGCAAATTGTGTGTACCTTTTTTTTTTTTTTTTTTTTTTTTTTTTTACCACCACTGACTGAATTTTTCATATCATTTCTACTTTAAAGTGTTTTCCTACTTCACCTTTAACCCCCTATGTTAGCTGCTCTATTTGACATGGATCATTAAATTACCCTTATGGTTTGCAGTTTGAATAAATATGACAATTATTCTACTTTCTCATTGTTTACTGTAGTTCTTAATGAAGGGTATTGATTGATTTTTCCACTTTAAACTGTCAGTAATGACCTTCACAATAAATGCAGTTATAAATCTCAATGAAATATATGTATAAATAAGCATTTTTTTATTTTCTTTGAATGTATTCATTCGTAATTTTGGATGTTGTGCTTGTTAAACATTTATTACTTATTCATGTAAATTATTTTCTCATTTAAAGCTTTATGTTGATTCTGTCCCATAGATGTCTCCTGCCCTCTGCTCCTTGTAAGAGTATGCACTTGCTTTAGTTAGGGATGAGGTAAGTATGTAACATAATGCAGTGGAACCTCTGTTTTCGTTTTAATTTGTTCCAGAGAGTCTGAAATACAGTGGAACCTTGGTTTTCGTTTTAATTTGTTCCAGAGAGTCTGACGAAAACCAAATTCGACGAAAACTAAAGTAATATTTCCCATAAGAAACAATGTAAATCCAATTAATCTGTTCCAGACACCCAAAAATATTAACAAAAAATATATTTTTTAAAGATAAACTATACTTTTACATACAGAAAATAAATCTGTATATTGCTTCCGTGGGTAAATCTGATGCAATGGATTGTACTTTTCACGTTGAACTACTTCAAGTGCTTGTATTCATTCAATTGCTTGTATTTTTATCACCATAACATTAGGATTATTAGCTATCGTAACATTCAAATGTTCCACTTTTTTAATGCTTGCCATTTCCAACCAAGGCAGGATGACCTAAAGAGTGAAGTGCTTTCTCTGTCATTCATAATAACTGCCTTTATAGAGGGCATAGACATTGCTAACTAATGGTGACCCACCAAACCATAACATTTCCCTTTGGCTTTCAAAGTGTAGGTACTGCATTTACCACCACCAAACATTGAGTACAGCTAGCAGGGTTCCCTAAATCCGTTCATAAATATTATCATACTCAATCCAATACTAGGTCAAATAAAAGACTATCCAAATATAGTCACTGATCTAATACACTTGCACATACCTGTTAAATGTACAATCCCATACTTTTCATTACCTCTTTTCTCCCCCTCTTTCCATCCTTTTTAGAAACATACCCTACACTTTCTTTTATCTTGGCAGCCTTATTCCTACTTTAATTACGCCTTTCATATCACTACAATTTACTCTTAAGTTATTATTTGAATTATATTCTCAGAACATTGATCTCCACCAAGATATTTCTACTGTCTCTAGCCACCTCACTGTAACATTAAAGACACCTGTATTGAAAAAGCATTGTCAGACTAGACAGTGATGTATTTCCCCTCTTTTGCATCCACTCACTTTTTTTCTTCCAGATTCCTGAGCACCTAAAAAAATTAATCTGTTATGTATATGGTTTATAGTACCTTATCTGTCAATAGCCCATCTTTTGATACATCCACTCTGAAGTATCTAAATACTGTATATTATTGTGCCCACTAACAAGTGGTATTGATCAGTAACAACACCGTGACTAGCCAAGGACTTGAACCCATGCTGCTTTGGCCTGCCTCATGGTGGGCAAAAATTCATGACACCTTAATCCACAGGACCACACAATCCTTAAGAGTAGCGCATCCAGCAGAACTGAATATTGTACTCGCTACCCAAGGACATATGGTGGTGTGGATGACTCTAGGCTAATTTCATTCTAGTCCCTGTTTGGTGTACTAGTACAACAAGCAGGCACAATAATATAAAATACTGCTCATTGTACTAGTACACCAAACAGACTAGAATGAAATTAGCCTAGAATCATCCACACCACCGTATGTCCTTGGGTAGCAAGTACAACATTCAGTTCTGCTGGATGCGCTACTCTTAACGGTTGTGTGGTCCTGTGGATTAAGGTGTCATGAGTTTAAGCCCACCATGAGGCAGGCCAAAGCAGCATGGGTTCGAGTCCTTGGCTAGTCGCAGTGTTGTTATTGATTTTATTTATTTATTTATTTTTATTATCACACCGGCCGATTCCCACCAAGGCAGGGTGGCCCGAAAAAGAAAAACTTTCACCATCATTCACTCCATCACTGTCTTGCCAGAAGGGTGCTTTACACTACAGTTTTTAAACTGCAACATTAACACCCCTCCTTCAGAGTGCAGGCACTGTACTTCCCATCTCCAGGACTCAAGTCCGGCCTGCCGGTTTCCCTGAATCCCTTCATAAATGTTACTTTGCTCACACTCCAACAGCACGTCAAGTATTAAAAACCATTTGTCTCCATTCACTCCTATCAAACACGCTCAAGCATGCCTGCTGGAAGTCCAAGCCCCTCGCACACAAAACCTCCTTTACCCCCTCCCTCCAACCCTTCCTAGGCCGACCCCTACCCCGCCTCCTTCCACTACAGACTGATACACTCTTGAAGTCATTCTGTTTCGCTCCATTCTCTCTACATGTCCGAACCACCTCAACAACCCTTCCTCAGCCCTCTGGACAACAGTTTTGGTAATCCCGCACCTCCTCCTAACTTCCAAACTACGAATTCTCTGCATATATTCACACCACACATTGCCCTCAGACATGACATCTCCACTGCCTCCAGCCTTCTCCTCGCTGCAACATTCATCACCCACGCTTCACACCCATATAAGAGCGTTGGTAAAACTATACTCTCATACATTCCCCTCTTTGCCTCCAAGGACAAAGTTCTTTGTCTCCACAGACTCCTAAGTGCACCACTCACTCTTTTTCCCTCATCAATTCTATGATTCACCTCATCTTTCATAGACCCATCCGCTGACACGTCCACTCCCAAATATCTGAATACGTTCACCTCCTCCAT